TTATACCCACTAGCAAGAACAAGGCAATAATTCATTCACCTATCTTTTTTTTTTCAATTTTCGCTAGTGGTGTATTATTTCACAAAACAAGTGCACCTTTCTTCCTTCTATTGGTTCCACTCAAAAGCCACCCCACTCTTAGTTCCTTCTTACTTCTGTTAGCGCTCATTTGTTCAATTAAAGTGCTTTAAGAGGTAAAAGGATCAAAACAATGTCAATTAAGAATAAAAAGGGTATAGGCTTGTAATGTGGGTGCCAAATAAAAGTCTATAGGCTCAAAAGGGTTAATTAGGGATAGATTTTATTTGTGATAAGCAATAAAGCTCAAAAAGGTCAAAGAAAGCCTAAGATCATTTTTTAAACCGAGCATCACCTAAGATTTCGCTTCAATTCACATACCGGGCAAGTTCTAGATATACGTACGATACATAGACTATACAAAAACCTCACTACACATGGCATATGACTCATTCAGATCAGCTCATCAAGACGCTCCGTTACAAGCATTCAATTCAGTAGCAAACATACAAATTAAGGCACCTTCAGTGAGATTCAACAATTAAGACTAAGCGTTACACTCTAGGGTCTATTGTGTTCAGGTGTGTCAACGCTCTGGGGTCTCTTTCAATTATAGCTCGTGGCCCATTACCCTAAATCCACAAAATCAAAAAGAAAACCAAAATAAAAACTACCTATGACCCGGTTCAAGTCAAAACCCTTGGAAAAGAACCGCGGCCTAAAGAAAACCAAGGGGGAGTTGATACACTACTTAAGAAGAAAAATCTTTTTGGTGTTTTCTCTAGACTCACTTCCCGCAAGAAAATCGTCTAAAAGATCCGTCATCAGGAAGAGCCTACAATTTTTCAGTTTTTTTTTCTCTCGACTCAATCCCTCAAGAACCCCGTCAAAAGGGATCCGTCGTCGGGCCGAGCCATTTACCTAAATTAACAAACGACTCCTACTCAACAAAAACTTTCAAGTTAATATGAAACAAACAAAATAAACAGTTAATTCATACAACTACATACAACATACACTGAAGAAATCCTCACCCCAAACTTAAAATGCAGACATGTCCCCATGGCTGAAAATTAGAAAGAGCAGAGAGGTGAAGGACTTCCCTGAGGTGTCACTCCTGGTCGGAGACGGTTTTGGGGTCACGTTGCACGCACGCCCCAAATCTCGTAGCCAACCCATAAACTTCTTCTCCGACTTTACTTGTCGGTCATCTATAGAGTCCACACGGGTGCCCAACTCAGTCATGGAGGCTCGCAGACCTGCCATCTCCTGTTTCATAGCAGTAAAACGAGACACCCGGGCAGCCCCTGAAGATGTTGCAGGCGCAGAAGTTCCGGCAGCTGCCACATTTTGCTCCTGGGCCTGTGGTGCGGCTCCCTCAGACTCCTCATCATCATCCTCATCGTCTTCCTCATCATCAGAGCTGCTTGATGCTGCTGCCGCTACCACCGCCGGCTCCTTGCCCGTCGTCACTTTATCCGCACGGAACTTGCCTTCCTTTTTGACCAGCCCATCCACAGCTATATTTTCTGGCACACGGGCATCCCTGCATAGTTGAATAACTAAAGAAGGGAAAAAGAATCCATACCGCTTTACCTGGCTGCGAACGAACATCTCGTCGTGTATAACCTTAGCCACATCAAAGTCATAGCCATTGACAAAGCACCAGATAAGAGCAGCTCGGGGCCCATTGACCTCCGTTTTATTGAGCGACGGGATTAGGCGATTGTTGATGAGGTGCAGCCAGCACTTGGCTTCATAGGTGAGTGCTGAGGAATGGAACTTCTCTCCATAGTCCATCCAGGCCTCTTCTTTGCCGGGTGCACAAATAGTCTCAAAGAATCTCGCCCATTTTCCGTCGTTCATTGGGCGACGCCCGTATTCATGAAAGTAATCACCAGTCTCCGGAGGGGGAGGCAGTTGATAGGTTGCCCGTATTGCCTCAACAGAGGCATTCACCGCTCGCCGGCGTACCGTGACTATCCCATTATTATGCTCTGGCACGTTGGCATAGAATTCCCTTACAACCATGGCATTGCCCTCACCGGGCTCATTGAGGAATGTTTGCAATCCCTGCCTTATCAGCTCATCATACATACGAGGGCAAAATTTCTGGAGCCATCGAATGTCAACACCTCTCTTCGGAATAGGCTTCCTACGAGCCTTTTCCGCAAATAGGGCCTGAACTTTGGCCGATACAAACTTTGTAGCATCAAAGGGGTGTGCAGGTGCATCCCCTCGTGAAGGCCTAGCTGAGCCAGCTTGACTGCTCGATGAAGCACCTTTGGTACGTCGTTTCTTGGAAGGAGTCATGATACCTGTAAAACAATAACACATTATCACAGCCTAACAAAAAAAATTTTTGTGACTCAATGCGGTTACTCAGACTTCACATGCATCCGGGGTCACAAACTATATACTCATGTTCATTGGGACCTTTCCACAAACACATTGTGGGCATTAGGCCTTCACAACTCTTTTTAAGCATGATAGAGCAAGACACACCCACCTACATTCTCCAACATTACAAATCACGGGGAATTCCACCCCACACTTATCATCTACAAATGCCACAACATATGGCACCAACATCTCTACATTAAAGCTACATACAACTACTACAACTAAGGTATATATATACACAAAATCTGAAAAAAAGAAAATAAAAAATAAAACAGAAAAACAAAGAGATGAGAAAGAGAAAGAGAAACTAGGGTGTATACCTGTGAAGAGGGATAATGGAGGAGAAGAAGAAGGTGATTTGTTCTTGGTAGCAGGGGGGAGGGGGATGAAAATCAAGTGAAGAAGGGGGGCGAAGGGTTTTGGGGAAGGGGGTGTTCTTTTGAAGAAGGGGAATTAAGTTGGGGTAAAAGGAAAAAGAAAACTAAAAAAAAAAAAATTTACACTAAAGAACGCCGGAATTTTACGGGACATGCGCGCCCAGGTGCGCTGCCGCGCATTTTTTTGCGCGGCCAAGGCAGAGAGTTTTCATTTTAGCACACCCAGATGCGCGGCCAGGTGCGCTGCCGCGCTAGTAGCGCGTCCAGGTGCTGCCGCGCATTTTTTAGCGCGGCAAAGACAGAAAGTCTTGCAATTTAGTGCGCCCAGGTGCGCGTCTGGGCAATTTTTTTAACCTGTTCTTACCTTGTTCAATGGACTTAGCATCCACCCTCCGTCACCTGCATTGGTAAGCTATTCCTAAACACAAAATTAACACTACGACTATCGTTGGGTTGCCTCCCAACCTCCCAACCAACGCCTTATTTAACGTCGTGGCACGACGGTTACAACATTTCAATGGGTTGCCTCCCATCCAGCGCCTGATTTAACGTCGCGGCACGACTCAACATGTTCTCAAGCATCCTTCAAATCCATCGAGGTCTTGTGACGTGCAAAGTCACCACCCCAGTAATGTTTTATCCGCTGACCGTTCACCAAGAAAGTTCTAGTTGAACTCATATCTCTCAATTCCACGGCTCCATGAGGTTTCACGCTTACCACAACAAAAGGGCCCGACCAACGAGATTTAAGCTTTCCAGGAAAATATTTTAATCTCGAATTGAACAAAAGAACTTCTTGCCCTGGTTTGAACTCTCGAAGTTGAATGTGCTTGTCATGCCACCTCTTAGTCTTCTCTTTATACAATTTGGCATTCTCATATGCGTGAAATCGAAACTCCTCGAGCTCATCTAGTTGCAGCAACCTCTTCTCTCCAGCCAAATCCCCATCCATACTCAACTTCTTTATTGCCCAATAGACCTTGTGCTCAAGCTCGACGGGCAAGTGACATGCCTTCCCATACACTGATCTATACGGAGAAGCACCTATGGGAGTTTTGTATGCTGTTCGGTACGCCCACAATGCATCGTCTAACTTCCCGGTCCAATCTTTTCTATTTGCACTCACTGTTTTCTCAAGAATTTGCTTGACCTCTCGGTTTGAAACCTCCACTTGACCACTCGTCTGTGGGTGATAGGCAGTGGAGACTTTATGCTTGACCCCATACTTTGCAAGGACGTTGTTCAACAGTTTATTGCAGAAGTGCGTACCTCCATCACTGATCAACGCTCTGGGAGTTCCAAAACGGGTGAAGATGTGCTTCTTGACAAAGTTTACCACCACCTTTGCATCATTAGTTGGAAGAGCAATAGCTTCCACCCACTTAGATACATAGTCAACTGCCACCAAGATGTACCTATGACCGTTAGAGTATGGAAACGGTCCCATGAAGTCAATTCCCCAAACATCGAAAAGCTCCACTACCAGAATGTTTTGCAGTGGCATTTCGTGCTTCTTCGTGATCGTTCCGGTTCTCTGGCACCTATCACACATTTTAACAAAGGCGTGTGCATCCCTGAACAATTTTGGCCAATAGAAACCTGATTGCAGCAGCGGTTCTGTCTCCACCGTGATGACCCCCGTATGGCGAGGAGTGACAGCTATGAAGTATGGAACTCATTTCTTCCTCAGGAACACACCTCCGCACCAACTGATCAGCACAGAGCCTGTATAAGAATGGCTCATCCCACATGTAGAGCCTCACGTCATGCAAGAACCTTCTTCTATTGTCTGGTGTCAATTCTGGTGGTGTCACCCCACTTGCAATAAAGTTCACATAGTCTGCATACCACGGAGCTGTGCTTGAGGTGATTGCCAATAACTGCTCATCAGGGAATGTTTCTTTGATTGCACCCCCTTCAGCCACATGGTTCCGTTTTTCTAATCTGGATAAGTGATCTGCCACTTGATTTTCTGTTCCTTTACGATCCCGGATCTCCAAATCAAACTCTTGCAAAAGTAGGACCCACCGAATCAGTCTCGGCTTGGCGTCCTTTTTCTCAA